TTCTAGTGCGCTTCTCGGAACGAGACTGAACCTCATTCCTGCCCTAAGGTAGATGTATTTTGCACCATTAGCTTTTTCTCGAAACGTAATGATGAGCCGCGTTCTGCTTGTTAAGTGGACCTAAAGATGTTTTAATTTTAGTAGTAAATCGCTTTGATCATTTTTTTTTGAAAAAATTTGCTTGGCTTACTGAATATTTCGTACTTTACACAGGGTTAAAGTATTAAATTCTCCGTAAGCTGAAGGATGAAAAATACAGTGTCACCACAATTCTTCATCCCGTGGGTGTCGTAAGAGCCGACTAAGGGAGTAAACTACGTAGGACAACAACACTGAAAGGAAAAGGAAAACTCGAAACAAACCCTATACCAACCCGTCTGGCCAGCGTGGCATACCGCATAATAGGCTAAAACCTCCTTTTTACGGAGAGGCCTAAGTCCAGAACTGGACTATTAAAGGCTGTTAATATGACACGATATAAAGTATAAAACATTACTTTTTGGTCATCTCCTTATTGCGGATTTTTTGTGAATAAACCTAACTCATTCTAGTCCAGTCTAACCACTATAAAAAAAAAAATGATTACTGTGTTTTCGAGTAATCTCAATTTTAGCAATGAGCCGTAGTTTAATTTATTGAGTTGAATTTGATTTAACTAGACATTATGTCATAGCCAGTAAAAAATCTCGTAAAATACCTTAAGTATGTAAGAAGGAAGAAATATTGAAAATATTATGCAACGCCAATGGATCAAATCGTTGGTTGCCCATGTTAAGAAGAGCTGGGTTTATTTAGAAAGTGATATTAAATTTATATTACAGTATGAATACACATACACATAAATGAATAAAAAGTCATCGATTCACTACTACGTAAATGCGAGGTCTGATTTCTACACCCGAATGATAAAGACGCTTCATGCCTACATTAATTTTCCGGAAACGTTCAAGGATGTTCAATACTGTAACTTCCGCACCGGATATTAATGATCAAAAGTAGAGTTGTTTTGACGTTGTTAGCAGAGAAGATTTATCAGTCTCCGAACAACTACTAAAGAGTTAAGGAACATCATTTTTTTAACAAAACACGAAATTACGTAACATAGATATTTCTAAAAGGTAATTAATATAAACAAGACATTTATTCGTTTTTTGTGCTCGATTTAATTAAAGTATCATTCGATTACCGAACATTTGCGTTGTTATAAGTTACGTACTAAATTGCCATCAATATATTCACATGGCATTCATAATGAAGTTACTTCAACTTGGCAAGCTTTGCCCTTAAACCAATTGTCAGTTATATAACCGATATTTTTTTATGTTAAATAAGGATCAAATAACTTTAAAATACTTTAAATAACTTAAAAAATATATTTGACTACCCACTTTTACTTTATATTATATTCAAACGCTCAATGGATTTATTTTGTTTACTTTTATGTATGTTTTCTAAGTAAGTGAATTTTGTAAATTCTTTTGAGAAATAAAGATTCTTAAACCACAATAACTGAACTTCTGCCCTGTTCACGTCTTTATGAATGCTTCGGAAAGGAACCTTTCGTACTCTCATGTCATTTAGACAAAAATATCTCTCTATGTATTAGAATTGCGGTAGCATAAATGCTGTTCTGTGTTAATGTGGAGAGTATAGTCCAGAGAGAATTTTCTTGCAGAAGTGGAAGACGCTGGTATCGAAGTACAGACCATCTATGTACTGTGAGACTAAAGTACCAAACTTAGTTATTATTGTTCTGCAGCATGCACACAATCGAAAATTTACTAAGGAATATGAATATGATCACACATTCATACCACACAGAGGAACATGTAAGATAAAAGCAATGAACAGCGATGCCTTTAAATTTATTTTGATATGCTGATTATAATAATCGCTTATCACTTATTTATAACTTACCCTCTGTGTCGCGTTCATAAATGTCTGCATTTCCTTATTTCTACTTAACACTCTGACCTTCTGTTTGTTTTAAGTCCGATGTATTCTACAATGTTCTCAGGTCTATGAACTAGGTTGCAAATGAGGAAAAAAAGCATCAAGTACTAGGCAACCCATATAAGGACCGCCAGGTATTTGTAAATGGACAATGCTATCAAGGCTTCATTAGTTTGATTATTGCTTAATTACTTTCTTTGACAATTGTAGTAACGACGGAATTTCATATTAGGTCACATTTAGATTTCTCACAACAAAAAATATTTTTTAAACTCACGGTGAATAACCTAAATTAAGATTAATTGAACGTTGAACACGGTTCATTTCGCTCGCTCAGTGGCCAGGATCACATGACAGTCACATCAGCGCCCACAGCATGAGCGCATAGCCTTGTCATAATCCACAGACCGCAACCGGTCGATAGATTAATAATTATACAAGACCATTCATTTCAAGTCTGTCATCATCTAATAGGATAAATGAGTCCGATCATTTGGTAAATTACGTGCATCGTCATGCCGAAACGACTCGATTGTCATTTAGTTTATAAAATTTAATTGTTGGACTAAATTCCAAAAGAATGCATGCCGTATTTATGTGCTATACGCGCCATGATCCAACACAATGTGCAGACAGGAAACAGACAAATATTTTTTAGTGTATAGCGGCCCCCATGTATTGAAAACATACAGGAGATTAATTCAAGAGTTTAATGAAGCTTCACTTTTTATGGCGACTGAACAGGAATGACTTAAATGTAATTTGAAGTGCACTTAAAATATGAATACAGATGTTATTATTATTTTTGGTAAGAACTATAAAGATAGATTGATTAAAAACTGGTGCGCATTTTGTCGCGACATAAAATTAAGCTAAGAAAATATCGACTGTGCTGGTTTAACCGAAGGAGAACAATGGAAATTTTTATTGCTTATTGGAAATGCACTGTTTGTCGTATAACTATAGGTACCTAAGTGAGGCAAACGTACCAGCCATCACCATTATGAGGTTGAGAAGTCACAATAACAAGTTGTAAAATAAAAATGTTTGCAATTATATTATATCAACTCTCTTTCTATCTGTTAATTTTGTTGTTATTTTATTGGCTTCGGGACTATAAGTTATCCTTCAAAATAAAATTTTATAAAAGGTTCTATAGATTGTAGTAGATTTATTATTAGATGATAATGATTCAGAAAAGGAATCTGACTAAGTGAAACGAGCAATTTACACTAAAATAAGAACATATTTTTAGTATAATAAAGCTACTAATTGAAACTGATTCGTATCAGGCATATTCGATTGTGAAGCATTTTGACACACTTCCATAAAAACCCTGGTGTATTTGTGAATAGTTTGATGAATCTCGACATATACATACTTTGGGATTTTTAGACACATTTCCTATTTTCTGAACACCTTTTCCTAAAAACCTTATTCGAACTGTAACTTACATTTAAAAACATTTTTGTTTGGTATGTGTTATTTATGTTTTTCACATTATGTTTTTGGTCACAAAAATAAATGAATTATTTGGTTAATTAAATTTAATGAAGAGATTAAAAGTTCGACCCTTACGCGAATGTTTTTTAATTTTAAAAACAAAAAGCATTTTTCTAACTTTAATACACTGTCTTATTAAGCATTGCGTCTACTACTGCCTAGTAAGGGGTACAGTTAGATTAGCTAAATACGTATTTTTATTTCGCTTACTACTTAATTAAATGAGTCATCTGGGTCAGACTGCCGTCATAAACAGAGAAGAGCTCCAATTTAATTAGGAGCTCTTTTCTAATAAGGTAAATCGAACCATCAATCATGGAGGATTGATAAAGGAGAGTGGGCACAGGGTCTGGACTGGACGGACAAGCGGCCCGTCACGTAGCGCTACCTCCGACGAAGTTTGGCATTTTATTACATTACGACTTGTAATTTCTGTCTTTATGTTCGGTGATGACTTCATGCGTCACCAATACTACACGAGACTATTGCATCAGTGTTTTGTAATGTACCATGAACCGTTGAAGCCTTTAAAAATTAGTGAAGCGAATATTGAACATTCTTACTGTTTGATAAACTAGTTAGGAAGTTACTCGTATATCGTACAAGGGGTAAAGTGAAGGTTAAAAATGTTTGACAAAACGGCAAGACGTGCAATACATAGTAAAATATGTTCAAGTGAAAGCTCCAGGTTTGCACTTTTGTTGGTACTCATGATGCAATTTACAATCGAATTTCATCTCACTATGCTTTAAACCACTCTATTTTCAGGACTCCTTGCTCATTGTTGTGTCATAAGTACACAATACGCTTTTATCACAATGATAGATAGTATCGTCAGATATTGACTTTTTACTTTGTGGTTTTTCATGAATTGACGAATTTCATTACGCTGTAAGGATTAGTATTATTTATCGTGACTTAGTAGGTACTAGGACCAGGTAGAATTTCAGACCAACCTATATATTTCGTCATTAAATTAGGTAAACCTACAACAATTTTACTGAATTTTCAACCTAATAAATATTTATAAGCGCAAAGGTATATCGCAACAGTACAGAACAAGATAAGGCGCTGAGCTCAAGGAGAATTACTTAAGTTTAGTTCCATGCGTCGTCGTCGTCGTCGCAAGTAATGAAGACGAGTGCTCACAGGTTTCATAACACAAAGAAACTCTAACCTTATTGTGCTCGAACGGATGTCAACCGTTGTTGAATCACGAAATAAACACTAAATACACAAACAATGTAGGTACACAAGTCACAGAAACACTGAACACGGTGCAAAACTAGCACGTGATTTACCCAAATTGACACATTTAAGCATAACGAGAACAGGGTGCGCAGGCGGCGGAGGCACGGCCGCTCACCGCGCTTCGCCTCCGAGCCTCCGACTCGCCTGTATGCACACACCGCCCCCAGTAAATTCTTTGCATAAATAAACGAGAAAGCTCTTCCAGTCTGCTTATTAAACCAACGTTGCTAGTACACTCACTTCGCGAAAGGAAAATCACTGCTTCCAAATAAACTTAAATGTAACTTCCTTACCTGATACACTGCGCAGTAAATGATGTTCTAACACGATCGATGAAGAAAAACAAGCGAAAAGCAGGCACAGTCACGTTCGTGCGGATACGTCGAGAGGTAATGGCGCCGAGTCGCCGGTTCGTTCGTTTGTCGAGTCTCTCACACACAGACTAGGAAGACAAGCCTTGTTTGAACAGTGACGTCAACGTAGAAGGTCTTTTACCTCTTCCATCTCGTATGTTACAACTTACATAGAAAGAGACAGCTATATTTAAGACAATGCCGTCCTCTACACTAATGGTGCAGCAACCTACATCACCGGTCCGTCGAATAAACTCAACAATGTCAAGTCTGATATTTGCTCGTTCGTCTCGAAAAATTGTGCAAAATATCTACACAATATGCGTACATATTCTGAAATTATGGTAAGCCTAAGATAGTTAATGGTCTCAAATCGCCAACAAAAGTGTACTGCTTGTTTAATGTTTTCCTACAAAGTGAATCATTTTTCAGAATCAGTTTTCAGGTAATAAACAGACATAAAAATCACAAAACATTGTATAGTAAATAAGTACGTACATATAAAAATATTTATTTTCTGAATAGTCTGTAACCAGTTACGAAACGGAGGTACTGCCATCTAGTGGCTTATACGTAATCGTCGAAGGCCGTTCTATAAACAGGTTTGAAACCAAAGAAAGTAGGATATTTTGTTGCTGTGTGTTACATTATAGCATTGGTAGATGGCACTTAATGCAATTCTGTTTATTTTAGTGAAAAGGGAAAGTAGCGAAGGGTTTTTACATTTTAATGTCGTATTTTAGATTTTTGTCAATCTTATTTATTTGTGGTATTTTATTTCATTTTATTATTCATTTATTTTATTATAAGAATCATTAAATTATCTTTATTCAATTCACAGTTAATACTACGAGGGCAGCAATTTATGTATCTGGAATAACAAACATATAGCATAAAAACAAACATACCATTTATTATAGTTTTATTGCTTTTCAAAATATTCGCCGTGATGATCGATGCACTTTTGCATACGTTGGAACCAATTTTCGTAGCACTTTTTTCATTCTGATTGTGGTATCTCCAAAACGTGCATTTAGAACGCATCAACAGCCTCTTCACGGCTCAAAAAAACGTTGACCATGTAATTTATTCTTCACGGTTGGGAATAAATAGAAGTCGTTGGGGGCAAAAGGCAGGGCTGTACGGCGGATGACCCGTTAATTCGATCTTTTAATCATCCAAATACTGAGTTGTTTCGGCCGATGTGTGGCAGTTAGTCATTGTCATGACGAAGAAGGATTTTGCTATGTCGGCTCATCATGGAACACCAAAACTGTTGATTGATTAGTTGATTAATTGTTTAGTTTTAGGATCATAATTTTCAAAATGACGCCACAAAGGATAAACAAATGAGAGCTACATGAAACAATTTGTAATGCAAATTGTTTCATGTCAGCCAAAGAGATTCATTTTTGAAATGTTATCATAAATTACTTTTTTAATATTGTTCTATAACTGACCAGTTCCGGATACATAAACAGCAGCCTTTGTAGTGTAGGCGCAAAATAACTTCATATCAAAATAAACTGGATGTATTTTCAACAGGATAATTCGCGTGAATTATTAGTATTACAAGTATTAGTTTTATTTAGGTGGCAAAACCGGTGTTTTTTAAAAAAAAACATGGAAAATCAATTTTAATGGAAGAACAAAAAATCGGCGGCTGTATTGTGAGAACAGACGAAGAAAATGAGAGGTGCTGAAGTCAAAATTTACGAGAATACACGCTTTTATCTCGAAAAAACCGCGATTCTTCATTTTCTATTTTTACTTCTCCTATTTTTCGTTTTTCCCTTAAATTGGTTTTAGGGTTCCGTACCTCAAAAGGTAAAAAAGAAACCCTTATAAGATCACTTTCTTGTCCGTCTGTCCGTGTGTCACCACCGATTTTCTCAGTAACGGGTAGACCTAGCAAGTTGAAATTTATACCAGATACTGAGGTCTATAGTCTCTATTAGGTGTATAAAAAGGTCCTGAGTCAACACGATAAAAGGATGTGGGCAAATTTCGATTTTCGCGAAAACTTGTAAGTACCAAAATTTACCTTAATTATCAACTTTTATATTTTTCAGAATTTTCTCTTTACTTGTGCTGGAAGACCTTGCTTTTAACCAAAATTGACAATTCTAGGTCAACCGGAAGTACCCTATAGGTTTTGGGTCGAAAACCTATATGGTAGTTCCCGTTGACCTAGAATCACGAAATTTGGCTAAAAGAAACGTCTTATAGCACAAATAAAAAAAAAATACCAAAAAATTTAAAAAAGTTGCAAATTAAGATAAATTTTGACTTACAAATTTTCACGAAAATCTATAAGTTATGGGTATACTTTGTTGAAATAAATCAAAATGATTTATTCAAAGCCGTATTCCGTGAAGACGACTTTGCATCCAAATCTCGTCAGCACACGTGTGCTTTAGCGCGCAGTAGCATTTGGCATGATAGTCTAAGATCCGGCTGCAGAATTAATGCACTCATCGAGGTTGGGGGGGTAAGGAGATTATATATCTACCAGGTTGTCTATCAAAATGTGGCCGCTAGTATTTCTAATTCAATTTTTGTTTATTGATTTTTGGGAAAACATTTCGTTCACTTGTTTTTTTAATAAAATATCGTCCACTTCACGGCAATATATATAAACAAAATGATTAAAATGCTCTTCCACTACAACTATCTAACTCCTACAAAAACAAATATACAAAGAAACACAATTGATAACCTTATCTCAGATATATAAATACAATACATGTCTACTAGTACGAAAAATCTTAGACAAAAATATACATACCAAGCTAACATTTACAAAAAAAGGAAACACTCAAAAAATAATAACAAGACGAAAAAATAATTTATGTTTAAGACACCCGCGAACCAACTACGGAAAGAAAAATATTTTATATGAAGGAGCCTAACTATATAATAAATTACCAAATAACATGAAAGAAATACAATCAATCAACTTATTTAAAAAACCCTTCAGTTCCACATCTTTAAAGAGTTCTCTAGTTTTTAGCATCGCGATTGTAATTATGCAATACCCGCTTGCTATCAGACACCGATACGTAATGCGACACGACCTTTATATTTTTTTATTAATGTACCCACATTTTAATTTTAATTTTAGTTATGTGATTTTGTACAATGCTTGGTGACACCGTCAAATGCGCTCGTAGATTATAAGTTTACTTTTAAGTTCATAATTTGTAAATCTCAATATAAGTGAATTGTATTCTTTTGAGTAATAAATATCTTAAATCAGAACTATAAGACGCTCCTTTGACATCTATTGCTAAATAGATTATCTTTGTTTACCTTAAGTAATACTACACTTACACACACACTTATACACTTTCGCCAACTTGACTAATGGACCTGGAGCACATCGAAAGCCAGGCCGTATGGTGGTGATAAATTCAAGCCTACAGTTAGTGTCCACTTTCGAATATACACTACATATTATTTATTAGTAATTTAATACGTAATAAATTTGAAGAAAACGAGGGACTCCATAGATCACTAGACCCCGAGGTGCTCTACTCTGGCCGATGATAAAATATTGCATTTTGCGCAGACACAAGGAGTTAGGAAAGAAATCTGTGGCAAATCAATTGTATTCAAACTATTTTTGTTTAGCATATAGCTTGGTGCAATTTGATTGTAGTGTTGAGCAACTAAGATCAGGAAATCTATCTTGTTATTGGTCACTATATATATTGTCTAAGAAATCATCTTTGAGTGGTAGGATACAATCATTCACGAACGTTTTTGTTCAGTAGTATTCAGTAAATTTTAGAAAAAATAGTTATCTGGTAATAGTAACACGCCCTTCGTTCAGCTTTGTAAACAAGTATTAAAAGATAATGTTTTGTATAGAATAATTCTCAATAAAATGGATTTATATGTCTCCTTATATGGTAGTTGTGAATGTCAATCATCTGAAAACCAACTGGTAGGTAGGCAAGTTGCAAGTTGATAGCATTGTAGGTACTTACATTACACATGGCTTCAAGGTTTTGAGCGTGTGATTAAATTCGTAATAAATGTTTACTAATAAAATAGTGGACAACTAACAATAATGCTTAAAGTAGGAATTATGATTCTTCAACATCTTCGAGTCTACAAACGAAAATATAGAAATGATTTTATTTCTCTGTTGTATCTGGTGAAAAGTTCAGTTTAACTTCGATAGATGGCGGTGAGTCGTGTGTGTATGAAAATGTTTGGTATTTAAGGTGGTCGTACCGTAAACCTACCAGTTACATAGCATACATATATACAGTGTAACATATAATTAACCTATTACTTTTAATAAAACTTCGTTATTTTATATTAATGTACCTGTATATGTAAATTTATTTCATAACTATCAGCTTTTTGCTCGTTAGTTCATTTGTTGCAAAGTTTATAGTTTATCCATAGCATGTCTATTCTATAATCGACAGCCTTATGGACCTTATCCACTCGGTGGAGGGCATAGGCTTCTCCTTAGAAAGGAGGTTTTGGCCTACTATACCTCGATGGCCAGACCAGTCGCTATTAGGTTTGTTTAAATTTTTTCTTCTCTTTGCAGTGCTGTTGTCCTGCGTAATTTGCTCGCTAGTCGGTTCCTACGATACCCACAAGACGAGTAGGGGTGGTGACATTCCGTATTCTTAATTCACGCTCATTATGTAAAGCATCCCGTAATAACTTAATAGCAGGGAGCAAATATTTTTTAACAGACGGAGAAAACTAATATTGTATTAAAATGACTCTTTTATGATGTCAGTTGAAGCAGTAAAATAAACTTTTACTTTATTAGACAATTAAATATATGACTACAACTTTTTTTCTCAAATGTTTTTTTCCTATTTATAAGTCTATAAACATAAAACAATTCCTACTGTTTTTATATTTAATGTGTTAACGAATTGTCTCTTCACATTTGTTTTCTAAACTCGATGTGTTCAAAGCTCGCCGCGAGCTTTCACCGACAATCAGGGCTGCTTATTATTTCTCCCGTAACTGTTGCTGTCACGATATTGTACGGTCAACAACTCAACACTTTAATTAACTAACTGTTGCAATCTTGCCTAAGCTTTTTAATTTGTCATACATCTGTGAGTACTTGATTGATGGTTGTGTGGAGTTAGTACTTAACTACATTTCATTGTACTTTTACGTACGTATTTTGTGGGTACTTTAAAAATGTCAAAAACCAGTAGTAACCAAGGAGTAAGTAAAAATAACACTACGGGTAATCAGTCAGTTCAATCGTCGTAGTGATAAAGACATGTGAATGGCGACAACTTTATAAACAACACAATCTTATTGGAATAAAAAGTTTCGTGAATAATTACACTCATATTTATATAAAGAACAAACGGTTTACTCAAATGCGCACATGACGTGCGTATTTCAGGGCTGCTTTTAATCTAGTGTAAGTCAAATAGTAAGGGGGGTCAAGTTGTATAACTACGTGTGTGCAAACTAGCGCTACAGTGGCGATCGACTCTCTCGCAGAACACGTTCAATCGTTAATTAACGATTGCACTCCGGTGGTACCGGCGACGAAAGACCGTCGATAGAACTTACCCGACGACATACCTGAACTGCTGAGGAACTACGCACTCTTGAGAGGGCAGTTAAAACACGCATGAACGAAATGCGCCAATCTCGATGGGACTCAACACTGAAAGATCTTGAACATACTCACCACGCCTTCTGGCAGCCATCCCCAGCATTAAAGAAGGACATAGTCACCACCGTGCCTGCCCTAAAGAGGCCTAACCTCCCGCCCGCCTTCGACGATATCGAAAAATCCGAGTCTCTGGCCGACAGCTTAGAGATTCAATATGCACCAGGTCGATTCACTCAAACCTTAATCATACAGTGGAGATAGACACAGAAGCGGAACACAGAGCCTCACTCCCATTACTACCTATGACAGACGAACAAGACCTTGAAGCAGTCTCCCCCAGTTAAAAACGATCGTTAAGAGCCTTTACCGTCGTAACGCACAAACAGGGTCATTACACTCTTTCCCGATAGACTTTTAGTCCTTCTGACATTCATTTTTAACGCAGCGCTCACAAATAACATCTCTCCCAAACAATGGAAAGAAGCCATGGTTATTGGGATACCGAAACCCGATAAACCAAAGTCCGAGCCGGCTAGTTATAGACCGATAAGTCTGTTTAAAAGTTTAGGTAACATTTACGAGCGTATCATATACACGGTGTAAGGGACGTCGTATCTAATACTGAAATAGTGTATTCAGACCATAATTCTCAGTCGAAAACCATTGGCATTTTCTACCGGAAAATTAAACTTTTGCAATCCGCTGTCAAAGGTTTAGATCATTCCCCGTAGGTATCGCACAAAAGTAATAACTTCACGTGTATTCCGTGCAAACAGTCTACGCACATTAACACAAAATGGCGGTCGGAGGGGAGACCCCGCGCGCTTCGGCTGTTTGATTAATTACATTGCAGTTTTTTGGTATTTATTAAATTGTTTTCGGTAAACTGTTCTGTCTACTCATTGCGATATCATTTATCATAATTTTTAAATGGAAAATTTAAAAAAAAGATGAAAAAATTTAAATGATTGTGAATTTTGTGATTTAAAAATGTCAATGTATAGTAAGCTGAAAGCACATGCTGATGAAAACCTCCTCATCCCACACAAGCAATTTGGTTTTCAAACCAATCACTCGTGTGTCCAATAGGTCCACCGCATCGTTGAGTTCACCAGCGAGCGGCTCCAACGAAATCTCTTTACAGAGGTCCTATTCTTCGATGTAGCGAAAGCCTTCGATAAATTGTGGCGCAACGGCCTAATTTAGAAACTTATTTACTATGGGAGTGCCCCACAGACTCGTACTCATCATACGAGACTACTTGTCGAACCGCAGTTAGTTAGGTCTAGTGGTTATCGACGCTGACTGTTAAGCTGGAGGTCGTGGGTTCCATTCCCACCCAGGATACATGATCGTGTGAAGAGCAGAAACTTAGTCCTGAGTTTGGGTGTAATTTATATATAATATGAGAAATATTTAAGTATGTTTATCAGCAGTCTGGTTACCTGGTTACTTAATAGGAGAGAGAATAATTGAATGAGAGAAGAACAATTAAAAATTGGTTTGCAAATGATGAAGACATCACGTAACTAACATACACATAAAAAAACACCTCCATTCTGAAGTCGGTTCAAACGGCGACTATCTTCATCGGTATAACATCATTGATTTGAAAAACTCTTTCCTTTTCGCAATCACTTGAAGTGGTTAATTGGTCTTTACAAAAAAATATATATTAATATTATCATGTACCTATACTTTGTGTCCCTAAATTAATTGCCCATATTATTATATGAATATACTTGCATCATTATCTGGCAGCTGCAGTGACCGCATGATAACGGTTCTCCGTAATTATTTGAGTCAAGTTTGTGATACCAATTTCTGGACATTAAATACAATTAATATGTTTTATTTTGTAGTGTTGTTTTTTCAACACTTCAAAACAAAACATGTTCATTGTGGAAGTATCATTTTGAGTGAGGTTAACAATGACAGGGAGTAAACCCTGATAAAGTACCTAATTCAAATGAAAAAAATATAGTCAGTTCTTATTTAGTGATTTGTCTCTGGCAAAATATCCATCTTTATGATAACATTTAAGTTACAAAAAAAAGAAGAAAGCTTCCTTAGCCATAGAAGTTTTGTGCCGAACCGTTGTGTTTGGAACCGACGCGACAAGATACAGTGGTCCTCGATAAAAATGTTTGTTGTGTCATAGCCACATTGCAGATGCACTTCTTTGCATCGAACGCAGAGACATTGAACGAAAACTCAATGGTTTTCTTATTGTTTTTATCTTCACCTGAGATATATGCTTACAAGGTGTGGGAGAACCAGTAGGTTTCCAGTCTAATTCTAAATAACAAGCACTCATTTTCAACCCTTGTACCTACTATTTTTTTGACACAAGATAGGCGTGTGTTAAAGGCAACTTTTCACGTGTAATCAAGTGCAAAAAGATCCGTTCACTTTATCTCATTACCTCTCTAGGCTATACAGACAATCATGGTTAATATTTAGAACAAACACTGCCCATTTCTCACTTGTTATAAGTAGCCTACAGCTATTGGCACGATTGCCCGTCATATCTGATTTCTGATTATACACACATCAAAAAAGTCTAAGCAACACGCATCATCTACAGAAACTGCATGCTATATTTTTCTTTGGTATTTTTTTTTCTTAGCAAAGTAGATTGCTATACAATCTTTTTTGTTCTCGGAGACTTATACTGGCTAATTTAAAAAATAGAAACTTTTGGATTGTGTTTTGTTTTCATTTAAATAAAAGCTTATTATTTTTTCCTGATTTCGTGTGTTTTCGTTGCTTGACAAAGGTATTCATCTCAATTTTATCCTTGAGATATACAGTTTTTCAAAAATTAATTAATGAGTCATTTTTATGTCATGGAGCAACGCCATCTGTATGAATGCTACAATCGAGAAGAAATCAGTTAAAGGTATCTCGGCATTTTGGTGACAATTGGAGCGTGAGTTGTGGTCTTTGGCAGCGTTACGTTGATACAGGGTATCCTCCTGAGCAGAAACCGATACATACAACTGACTGCAAGACGTCAGCCGATGTGAACCGTCTGGGAGATAGATTCAAAGCTACAATTCTCAAGCGGTGTTGTTATTAGCAACCAAACCGTGAGAAATAGGCTGCACGGCCAACGAGCACGATGACCAATTAGGTGCCCATCTTTAAGTCATGAAAATCGCGCCCGTCGAAACGAATGGTGTAGGGAACACTTGACATGGACCCAGGAGCAATGGGATAATATTTTATTTTGCGATTAGTCCTGGTCCAGGAAGAGCAGTCTTACAGTGGCTCCACAGAGATGGTATGAGCGGGTATTATGAAGAACAGACGAACTGAGCTCTTTTTTGTAGATGGAAATATGAACGCTGAAACTTACGTTGAAGATGTCGTCGCACGCATTTACACAAAGTCTTGGCTCAGATTTTACGCTGATGCATGACAATGCGCATTCGCACAAAGCTCAGAGGACCAGAGAGTACTTGGCAATGGAAAGCATCCGGGTACAATATCCGGATGCTTTCGACGTGGCCTGCACAATCACCAGAACTCAATCGAGAAACGTGTTCTAGAGAACCTGGACGGAGTGTCGTCAACCCAACAGGTGAAAGACTTTTAAAATTTCATTGGGAGCGATTGCTGCAGGATCAGATAAATAATCTTATAAATTCAATGAAAAATCGTTGCTGACAAGTTTTAAACAACAGATGCGTTTAACTTTGTTTTATACTACGTATGTTACGTTACATATATTAATAATGATTGTGTATAAATGAACAATTGAATGAAGGATTTTGTTGCTTTAGTCACTAATGCATCAAAGTATGCTTGGTTATTATTTATAAAATGAAGACATTGGGTACAATAGTAAAAATCGTTAAAAGTTCAAAACCGACCATGTTGCTTATACTTCTTTGATGTGTGTATATAGAAATAAACTCGGAGCTGCAAATAACGAGATACTCAAAACACTAATTTGGTTTTATACGACTCTGAATTTATACTTGAGTTCATTGGGAGAAAGTTACAATTATATAAACTTTTAATTACAAACATTGCTAGCAAGTGTATGCAAGGTTTTAAGTTAAATAAAAGTTTCATACCTAAAGTAATAACTGCTGTTAAGAATAAAACAAATATGTAATTTAATGACTGTGTACCTATATGATCGAAAGTGCTTGAGCATTCAGTTTAATTGTTATAGTTTGTTTCCGTGCCCGTGTAAAGTTTTAATTAGTCATACCAGTTTGCTTTACTAACATAAGGATATGTATGTAAATATGTAGTAGCTGTTAGGATTCTGATCATTATGCTACACAGTAAAAAATGATTATAAAGTATTTACATCCGTCGTAGTGTGTCAGTTCGGTTTGTATTCGCTGTCCGTAGTAGTATCAAGTCAATAAACGTAATAAAAATAGGGTAAGTCTGTATTGGAATAACATTCTATATTATATTCGAAATTCGCACAATTCTGTCTTATATGAGAAAAAACATTTACAAAGCTAGCTCTTTTTTGAGCTTAATATTAGTTGTTTTAGGCTTTTTTTTAATTTTAATTCGGTAGGACGAATTTCGACTGGACGAAAAGGACAATTGGCCTTCGTGGCTGAAAACGGCCTTAATCGACATTAAGCATAATATTTTAAACAATTTTAACAAAACTTTTGTAAGGCTAAGGGTTCTCTGAACCGTCGGTCGCGTGCGAGCGACGACCAACACATATCCATCGCCGCGCCGGTGGCGTACGAATGCTGTCATTGTATGCTTAGCGCTGGGTTCTTAGAAACGTCGTCGGCGGCGGACAGTGCGAGCGGACAAGTTCGCATGCCGCACGCTTAGCGTATCGTATACATCGGTATCATATTTGTACCATAGCCACTTTAAAATGAGTTTTAATAGTGAAAATGACAAATTGTTATTTATTTTACAGGATATAATACTATCTAGTTCGATGTATCAAACAGCAATTTATGTAGGTCCGTGATTTTATGAATATTGATATTCATCTGCCACTTATTCTCTAATCAATGTTAATATATTTTCGTTCATTTTACTCCGAGTACAAACACGATTTTTCAAGCAGCGCCATTCACAATCACCATACCACGGTAGAATTATAATACAGTAGCGTAACTCGGACGCATGATAGAAATAAATGCAAACATGCGTTAGGGCTGCCCGTCTCCAGAATTTTAATTATATTTGCCTACTTTCTGTTTCTATTTAGATTTGTGATTGTAAATATCCTTTTTATATAAATAAACGAAATACTTTGTATATTGAATAGGAAGTGTTCAATAAAAATGCGTGTTGTTTTTTGATTGGTAGATTTAATTATTTTATTTTCTTTCTGCATTGGAGGAGTTCAAGTTTCAATTTTCTTTTACTTGGAGTGTTGCTAGAGAGACTCGTTGAGGTTTGAGCAAAGTTTTCATTTGTTGCATTTTCAGTCTGTGTACTATTTGCATTTCCTACCAACGGAGCAGTTTGGGTTTGTTTATCTTCTTTTAGAGAGACTCCTGAATCAGTACTAGCTAAGTTGCCAAAGCATCAACAATGGTAGGGCATTCTTTTTTAAAAGTTTTCTATTTGATGAATGTAATACATCCTCCAAGTTTTCTAAATCATCTCGCCGGATCAGTTGCAACCCTTGAAGACGTCTGAAAAAAAAATACATGTGGCACTCTTTTTTATTTTTTAAAAGAAAAAAATCTGCGTGGTGTCAGGTATTTTTCGTTAGGTTTTGAGAATTTCTAGATTCGGTCACCGCGCTGCGCCGCGCTCAGAGCTTAAAAATCCTTCTATAGAATAAAAAAAAATGTGCTTTCTCCTTACGCGTTACAAAACTCCAATCCTTAAAAACTCCAACACCTACCTACTCAACTAGAATGCAAGAAACAGCTGACGAGTAAGTAACTTTTTATCTCAGCTTATTAACGTCTCTAAAAATTAGGTACCTACCTATAACTCGCAACAACTCAAAACAAAAATTCTTTGGTCACCAATTAATTAATTATTAAAAAGCTGAACAGCTGACTACGAATGTTTTAAAATCACAACCCTCAAACATCTAAATATTATATATGAGTCTAGCTGTTGTTGTTAATAGCGAGAAAATAAAACCAGTTTTTAGTGGTATATGTTGTTATAGTAGCAGCAGAAACACTTTGTGAAAATTTCGAAAATTATCTAATGACACACAGACGGTAAATTTTTTTTTCTAGTATTATTCATACACACAGATAATAAACAAATATTATTAATAATAAAATACCACGTCTTTACTTTGAATTATGCAAAGTAACAAAACACACATGCACCGAAGTTTTAACACAAGTGTAAGTAGGTAGGTACCTACCGCATCATGATTCATTCAGAACCGCATATAACTACCTATTTCACTCGTCTCAATAACTTTCCCTTACTCTATTCGCTTTATTTGTTAATCCAAACACCTTTTTTTTCGTGAGATAAAAGGAAATACTTATCCATTAAAAAGACACACATTATGAACCTACCTACTAGTAAGTAAAATTATTTTATAGTCTTACCTTTCAGAGTTTCCAGGTAATTTAAAAAAACTTATGTCTGGATGCGTTATTGACGAATTCATACAACCAAAAACAGCACAATATTTCCTACTTGTCATATTAACTGATTTTTAGAGAAAAAATCGCACGGTTATTGTTAAAAAAACAACACAACGTCCGTTCGACACTGCGGTACAGCCGTGACTGTCTGCGCCCCGAGCGCACCCCGAGATCGAGGCGCGTAGGTATAGCTCGCGTTTCGTCCGTTTGTATGAAGTTGGAGTACTGTATTATAATTGTACCGTGACCGTACGCGCACGCGGCCGACGGCGTACGCCTTCGGCGCGGCACGGCGCGGCGCGGCGAACGAAAATCTATTAACATTGATATGCGAAAAAGTCTTCTGTGGTGAATGCCATCATTTGAAGGCAATTAAGTTCATGTTCGAATATCCAAAAATATAAAAGATATGTTGTGTAAATCACATTGACTTGCTCTAGTTATCTATTTTATTCATCGAGTACAATAGACATTAAATTGTGTACAATAAAATGAACCTGCATATTAAAGAAAACACATCTATGTTATCATTGACCTTTATTTTACATATGTTAATTCTGTCGTAGTTATTGCTTTATAATAATGGGTATTGTGTGAATGCACTCATAGTGTCTAATGCCATAATTTGTTTTTATATCGAGAGCTAAATGCACCGCAACCGGTAGAGCGTAAATGCTAATCAGTACAGAGTACAATGAATGGCGCAAGTACAGTCGATCACATACCAGGTATATATTTTTTG